CTTTATATAAGTTAATATTTTGGCTGAATGGAGTATTTTTTTTACTTATATAATCCTTGAGGAAGTTCAGCAGATGCAATGTGGCTGCAGGCATGAGAAGATGAGCTAATTATCATCTCCTCCAGTAGGTTTGAATAAAACAATCATGTTTTGAAGCTTAACTTGAATTTCAGCCAAGCTTTTTTTATTTATTTATTTTTATTTATTACAGGAATAAAGCATAATTGTAACATTTCTGTAAATGAGAGTACCAATTTTTCACCTACAGTTCCCACATTTTTTTTTTTTTTAAGAACACACACAGAACACCTCCGGTAGTAAAACATGGTGACATACACTATATTGCCAAAAGTATTTGCTCACCCATCCAAATTATTGGAATCAGGTGTTCCAATCACTTCCATGGCCACAGGTGTATAAATTCAAGCACCTAGGCATGCAGACTGTTTTTACAAACATTTGTGAAAGAATGGGTCGCTCTCAGGAGCTCAGTGAATTCCAGCGTGGAACTGTGATAGGATGCCACCTGTGCAACAAATCCAGTCGTGAAATTTCCTCGCTCCTAAATATTCCACAGTCAACTGTCAGCTGTATTATAAGAAAATGGAAGTGTTTGGGAACGACAGCAACTCAGCCACGAAGTGGTAGGCCACGTAAACTGACGGAGCGGGGTCAGCGGATGCTGACGCGCATAGTGCGAAGAGGTCGCCAACTTTCTGCAGAGTCAATCACTACAGACCTCCAAACTTCATGTGGCCTTCAGATTAGCTCAAGAACAGTGCGCAGAGAGCTTCATGGAATGGGTTTCCATGGTCGAGCAGCTGCATCCAAGCCATACATCACCAAGTGCAATGCAAAGCGTCGGATGCGGTGGTGTAAAGCACGCCGCCACTGGACTCTAGAGCAGTGGAGACGCGTTCTCTGGAGTGACGAATCGCGCTTCTCCATCTGGCAATCTGATGGACGGGTCTGGGTTTGGCGGTTGCCAGGAGAACGGTACTTGTCTGACTGCATTGTGCCAAGTGTAAAGTTTGGTGGAGGGGGGATTATGGTGTGGGGTTGTTTTTCAGGAGCTGGGCTTGGCCCCTTAGTTCCAGTGAAAGGAACTCTGAATGCTTCAGCATCCCAAGACATTTTGGACAATTCCATGCTCCCAACTTTGTGGGAACAGTTTGGAGCTGGCCCCTTCCTCTTCCAACATGACTGTGCACCAGTGCACAAAGCAAGGTCCATAAAGACATGGATGACAGAGTCTGGTGTGGATGAACTTGACTGGCCTGCACAGAGTCCTGACCTCAACCCGATAGAACACCTTTGGGATGAATTAGAGCGGAGACTGAGAGCCAGGCCTTCTCGTCCAACATCAGTGTGCGACCTCACAAATGCGCTTCTGGAAGAATGGTCAAAAATTCCCATAAACACACTCCTAAACCTTGTGGACAGCCTTCCCAGAAGAGTTGAAGCTGTTCTAGCTGCAAAGGGTGGACCGACGTCATATTGAACCCTATGGATTAGGAACGGTATGTCACTTAAGCTCATATGTGAGTCAAGGCAGGTGAGCAAATACTTTTGGCAATATAGTGTATATACATATAATCACACATACACCCCTCTGGAGGAAAAAGAAGAACAGGAAAAAGAGTAAATAAAAAACTACATAAATAAAGGTAATAATAATAAAAAAATTATAATAAAAAAAAAAATTTAAACAAAACAAATAAATAAATGGGGGGGGGGGGGGGGGGAGCTGGGTGCACAGGGGGGGGGATTACATTTCTACATTGAAACACTGCCAGCTCTGCGACCTGGCCTGGATAAAGCAGAAGAAAATGGAATGGAAACTTATCGAAATGTTTGAGTAACATCATGTATCTCAGCAGCATTCTGCTTTAAACCAGGAAACTCTAAAGGAGAATGTCTAGTGATCAGTGACCACCTTGGATTCAAGTCCTCTTGGTTCAGCAGCAAAACAATGTTTTCAGATCAACCAATATTTTTTTATGCCTATGTTGGTACCGATTATTTTGACATCAGTCCAACTGATATCTGATATGCGCAGATTTTTCAGTCTATTGCTTTTTCTTCCTCCACTAACATAAAAACATCATGCACCACATGTTATCTCGATGAATATCTGCTGCACTAATGAATCAGCCGATGACGGTACAAAAACAATGCCCATATTGAATCAAAATATGGGCCAGCTGATGTTTCGGTCTGCCTCCATTAATGATCCCAAGGACAGCAGCGAGTTCACCTTTTAGACGACTCAAAAATTGGAAGAAACAGCAAATAATGTCATTGCCAGAACTGAGCTTTCTTTACTTTTATCCCACTTAGCCTACGTATTTCTTACGTAAATAAGAAAAAAGAACCAATATATTAGGGGGAAATACCTTTTCACAGCTTTCTACTCGCCATGTAAGGCAGGCATAGCTGACATGTCCAAAGTGTCTCCTTGGTTTAGACACAATTAGGGTGAAGTGACCTGAACGCCTTCTTACACAATGTTATATTTTCTCAGCACCTACTTTTCTCTCATGATTTAATGCATATATTTAGCAGCAACAACGATACTATTTTAGGTCTTTCTGTAAATGTTACATGTTTATTGGGAGTGATATATAACCCATTCTGCAGCCTAGAGTTGGTCCATTAGAGAAGAACCATTATAGTTATTGATCTTCTTTTTTCTTCCCTGATTTGTATAAAAATAAGCGGGAATAAATTATTTCCTACCAGTTTTTGCATCCAATTCTTGAAAAGCAGGATAGAAAAACTTGGAGACACAGTACTATAGGAAACTGTACAAAGATAAATAGAAACCTGTGATTTCTCTTTGTGTTTAGTTGCCGTTCTCAGTAGGATCTGCCTCACCATTAGGTAACCTGTGTGAATAGTGACAATAAAAAGGTAAAGCTATTGTCTGGTCAGGCCAGCATCTCATTTCCGATCGGTGAGACAGAAAATCAAGGCATCATTAACCCCAGCTATGTCCACTTTACAACTTCATTAACGGGGGTGGTGGGATCAGCAGCGATCGATTCCTCCCTGAAGGAGCAAACAGGATTTGTTCCCCTAACCCCGAGCCCTGATGATCACAAGCAAACTTTTATGAAGAAAAACATTTATTTTTAATTTTTATGTTTTATGTAAAAAGGATTTGTACAATTCGCTAAGAAATATCTTGCTTTAGGTTTAACTTGTAATCTTTATTGTCTTTTTAATGATAGCCTATTTTTTAAGGCTTAAGTAACATAAAATGTTAACCAGATCTGTGAAACATCCTTCTTAGCATCAATAATCAGCTATAATTTATGAGAAGAAGCTATTGATCTGTTCTTGGTAGCAATAAAGCAGCTAAAATCCAAATCCCAAAAAGTTTGTATAAAAAAGAAAAAAGTATTTTATTTAATGTTATCACACAATAAATGATAGAAATTTTATTTTTTTGCTAGCATCATGTCTGAATGTATTACTGAAACAGCTAATCAGCTGTAATTAAAGTCTCCCTGGGCTTCAGTTTTACAATTCCAACATAAAACTCTCTAATAAAGACACTAAATGGGAACAAATCTAATGTGGAAAACAATCACCAGCATATGTTTTATTTATAGTTATTAACAAAACATGTTTACTATTGATGATAATCAAGAGGTATTTTCCTTTAATTAGCTCATTTGTTCATTTATTTTTTCCAATAGCCTACAGAACAGACATTATTTCGTTCATTGCTGAGGCTGAGTATCATCTGTTATTGGGAGCTGAGAGTTATTGTTAACTTTTATTGTTAAGTGAGGGATGTTTAGATGAGACATTATTTCTTTCATTGTGCTTTTCATTCATTACAGGAATTGTTAAGCATTATTAATAAATACACTTTGAATAAAATTATCGTTTGTTATTGGAGTTATTGCTGTTGACTTTTTCTGAAAACCATTTTCTTTTTTAAATCAACTGTAGATATCATGTTATTGTAGGATTATGTAGGTCTATGTTAAGTGAACTGAAATACGTTTGACTTGGAGCTGAATGATTTTTGTTAATAAACTCTTATATTTTGAACAGAAGTTGTGGTGAATTTATTCCATTAATGTGCAGAAATAACTGTTTGACCATGATTAGTGCTCGAATCACTCTTTCATCTATTGTTCTTACACACAGTTAGTAGGGTTAGTTATATAACAGTATATAACAGCTGAAATAATATCTGATTAAATAAGATATTTACCACCCCTACTGAGAAGGGCAATAGACATCTTAAAGTATCAGAAATATAAATTCCAAGCTGGTTGGGAATTGAAAAGAATATAAATCCACAACAATAATGTGGCATGCTATCTGGATGAGCATAGAACATAAAATCATAAGAAAAGGGCAAAAGCCCAACTGAGATAAAAACACATGATACCATTTTTTAAAACGATAAATATAATTTTACTAGAAACCCCACCATAGAACATTAGAGTCCAGTGGAGGTATGCCTGGCACTATTGCACTGAAATGTTCTTAATTGCAACCAGAGATGGGGAAAATCAGAAGCAGTAAATCGATCATGGAAACCTTTTTGGAAGCATTTCACTTTGCAGAACTGATGTTTAGGGATATTATGCCATCATTAAACTGTAAAGAAAATAATCATGCCACTGCTCTGCTTCAGTTAAACAACCCTGCGCTTCTACACCATCACTTCTACATGTCCAAACAATTTCCACATGGCCATTTCCAATTTCTCTGAGTCCAATGTGTGGATTGTATCTTTATTTGAATTTAAAGTCTTAAAACTGCTTTACATGTAAACCTAAATTCAGTTTTATCTATTTCACAAAAAAAGGTTTAAATTATTTGCATTAAGTAAAAAAAAAAAAATCAGTGAATTAAAGTCTGTGAGGAAACTTAAGCAGGTTTGTTAGAATAATTTATAGATGAGTAAAATCATTGACTGTGGGGATTCATAATGGGAACCAGAGTTAAAGTAGCGAATGTGTTGATGCTCTTACCAGTGCTGTCATCGTAGACCACTGTGACTGTCTTCCATTTGAAGAAGTGGACTAGATCCAGAATGGCCCGGCTGAGGGAGGAAAAATCTGGATACAGGCTCACATAGAAGACGTCTCTGTTGTCGGATACTTGGTGCTTCCATTTGGTCTGAATGTGCGGGACACCAAGAGCATTGCAGATGGACTGGACGGCATTGGCAGAAGAACTGTGAGAGGGACCAAAGATGGCTGCCACTCCAAGAGAAAGCTGGTCACAAGCTATGGAAGGAGAAAGACCAATTATCTGCTGGCTCTTATGATGCAGAACATTTACTCAGATTAAATTAATTAGCCTCTGGTAGTTTTAGAGGCTTATGAGAGGCAAAAAATAGGATTTATAAAAACAGCCATAAATACAGGCAATGCGCTGACTTTGTGCATTTTAGGTAATATTTATTGAGCTACTAAGTGATGCATGAGAAACGTTTCATGATTTTAGAAACAGGTCCACTCTGGATGCTGATGACCTCCATTCAGGATGTTTTGTTCCAGTACTGTAGAGGTAACTTTGGACTTTAACATAGATAGAACTGCGGCAGGCCCAAAAATATTTCATCATTTTATTTTTAATTGTAAAGGAAGATCCAGATGGAAACGGTGATTCTGCCTTTTGTGAAGTTTTCTTTTGAAGTTTTCAGTTACACTTTGATTTATGTCATTCCGTGTTTTCTTGATCATTGGTTTCTTTTCCGTTTTGTGTTATATTAATGCAGTTTTATTTTTTGAGTTACTCTCTGTTGCCCCCTTGTGCCACTCCCCTTTCCTCTCAGCTCCTTCTTTCTAGAGACCTTTAGATCCCGTTGGATCTCCCTGGTTATTCTTTGCTGCCTCCTAGTGTCCATTCCTCTCCCTTTAGCTCCTTCTAGTTACTTCTGTCCACACCTGCTCCCTATTAGCTAATTAGTCCTCCCATTGTTTCTGTCTCCCATATATGCACCTCCTTTGGTTAATTCCTCCCTAGTTTTGTTTGAAGATCAGTTTTGGACTATGGATTTTTTATTTGTAGTTTTTCATTAAATTTTGCAAGCAATTATCCCTGGCTCTTCTACTCAGCTTTTGGGTTCAGAACATCCACCAAGAGATGAGAGAAACATTTATCTTAGTAACGATTTAGAAGAAGCTTAATAAAGCAATGAAGCGTTCCATCTGATTGGTTTGCTCATCTGCCAAAGCGTCAAGGTGTTTCATTTGCTGTTTTTTGCCATCAAGTGGACAATAAATGTCAAACATGCAGTGTGATTATAATGATACTATTTAGTAGTATAGCAGCTTTTAACCCTTGGACCAATAACCCTTGGATAGAAAGGGTACCTCCTACAGCAGACATCACCATCACTTTCAGAAAAATTACAGCTGAATTGTCATAGTACAACTGAAAGTGGCTTGGTTAGTTTCTCATCATTATATTGTTTATCCATCCATCCATTTCCGTCATGCTCTATCCCAAGCGGGGTGGTCAGGGGTGCTGGTGTCTATCTCCAGCTGTCTACGGATGAGACCCTGGACAGGTCTCCAGTCCATCGCAGGGCAACACAGAGACAAAAAGGGCAAGCAACCATTCACACACACACTCACACCTAAGGAGAGTTTAGAGAGGCCAATTAACCTAACAGTCATGTTTTTGGACTGTGGGAGGAAGCTGGAGTACCCTGAGAAGAACCCACCCATGCTCGGGGAGAACATGCTGTTTTAACCAACTAGACTGGTTATTTTTTTAATTGATCTATTCTTAGAATATCTATCCAAACTCTATCCCACTGACTGCAACTCTCCTACAAGCTCCCACATTTCAACTGAATGCTGAGGCCCTTTCAATGCCTGTCGAAGTTCCCCATGTGGTCACGTGGTACGGCAATGGCAAGCATATGGTAGCAAGGCTTCGGACATTGTCGATTTCAGCTAGGGCCGGGCGATATAGAAAAAAAGCTTATCGATAAAAAAAATGCATACTGATCGATATTGATAATTATTGAAAAGATTTGAAACCATATTTTATGTTCAGCTCTGCCTGGACTTTTTATAATATTGCTAAATGATTTATTTTTAGTAAAGAACACAAACACAGACTTCCAATTAAATCTTTATTTAACCAATTTTTTTAACCATAACAGAATTGTTTTAAAGAAAAATAACTTAAGAGACCTGAGTTATGTTATTAAATACTGACAAAGAATAAACTAAAGTGACCAGAAAAGTGACCAAAATAAATAACAAATACATAAATAGAATCCCCTATTTGGGTGGGAATAGTACACCACCAGCTTGTGGTAATTAAAAGATTGTAGGACTAGGCTACCATGGAAACTCCACTCAACAAGAACAAAAACCCAAATCAACTCCCCCTTTAGCCTAGCATTTCTATCGGGGTGTTTTTTCTCACCCCTATTCTTCTAGAGGTGCTGCTGGTTATGGTTCAGCATAGTTTCCTGCTTTAACCTGAGTTATTACTTTGAAGTTTCTGGCCCCTCAGCATTTTTCTCTCAATTGTTAGAACTACGTGGGAAACTGCCCAGAACTGAATATATATATATATATTAGTGCTGTCAGTCGATTAAATTTTTTTAATCGCGATTAATCGCATCAATGCCTGAGTTAACTCGCGATTAATCGCATTTTAATCGCACATTTTTTTCCTGATTGAAAATCATTTAAATACTCTCGATGACATACAAAAAAAATACATACAGGCTAGGTTTGTGCCAATGTTCTTTTTTTAAAATGAAAACAGGTCACAGATACTGATTTATGCCAAAAATAACAAATATGTAGCCAAAAAAAAGGCCCTGAAAACAGGCTGATGTAAAAGACAGTCTTTACAGTTAATACAGTCTTTTGAACAAAGACAAGCATTTTACCCTACTGCTATAAAATTTAGTAGAGTTAACATTAGATGTTAATTAACCAAGGTAATAATGAACAATTTTCAATCAATACATCAAAATCAATAGACCGACATCACTAGATGGAGGTAGTCTATGCTCTAGAAAGTTACTTTTCAGCCTCTTAACAAAAATGAGAACACACACACACCCACCCACCCACCCACACACACGATACCGACTTGTGGCGTACACAGCCGGCAAGAGTGCCGTAGCAGATTCCATTTCACCTCAGTAATCAGTTTTCTCAGCGTATTTCAGGTTGCTACTAGTTACCAGACACTCAACTTGTTTGTTGGTGGTGGGGCTTAAAGAAAAGGCACTAGCACCACCCAGTGTATGAGCGTCTTTTTCCCTTGAGGAGCTCCGCTCTCGAAGCCTATGAGAAATGCATAGACTGGGGGAAAAAAGCCCCGCCTCCCCGCAGGCTGCAGCGGGATGTACTTGGAAAATTGTACCATAAAACCACAAAGCGTTAATCTCACGTTAAAAAAATTATCGCCGTTAAAATGGCCTCGCGTTAACGCGATAATAACGCGATAATTTTGACAGCACTAATATATATATATATAAATATTTTCCCGAAATTCCCGAAGATTCCTCGGAGGAGAACCGCGTCGGGGCCTACACAGCTCGTACTCCTGCGGCTGTGAGCGGCTGAGATGATAAAAAAAAAAAGTTGGTTGCGTTATCAGACTGGTTTCACTGGTTCCCGACACATTTTCCAGATGACTGTGGTTTGTTTTTGGTCCGACTTGCCATGACCGAAATACTGCCAGACTGCCGAACTACAAAAACCCTTTTTTGAAACAATTTCCTCCGCCTCTCCTTGCTGCACATCTTCATGTGCTCTGTGTTGTGGTTTGAGAGGGCGGCGCTTGGTGACGGCGTGCCTGGGTCAGCGATTGCGATTGGTTGGGAGGAAGTAGTGACTAGCATAAACGTACATGCTAGGCAACAATGAGAAGGAAGGAAAACAGCGTTTCTTTATCGAACTTTTATCGACTCTCTTTTTTTCCATTGCGCCACACGTCTATCGATCGATATATATCGTTATTGAATTATCGCCCAGCCCTAATTTCAGCCCTTCCCCTACATGAAATTAGCCTCGATACGCGCTTCTTGAAAAAGGCCCCTTCAACTGCTCGACAGCCTCGGCTCATCGCTTATCACTAATTAATCTAAAGGCAATTTTTCTCTCATCTTCAATCTTTCAACATGGAAAAACAGGCAGATAGGCAAAAAGAGAGTTTATTGTATGAATGATTATTAATATTTTTGGCACTTAAGCTGCGTTCACACCGGGCGTGGTTTCTGCATCAAACTGTCTGATTTACATGCAAAGTCTATGGGGGGGTGGCGTCAAGAGGTTCAGCAGCGCATCCAAGCTTCGTACCCTCTGAGCGTTTGACACTGGAGTTCAAAAATGTTTACTTTTACCACTGGACACCAGAGCGTCAGACAATCAGATAAGCTTATTCTAAAGTTTTTGGGGGGAGACAGACACTACCTGCAAGCTGTCATCGCTTCTGCAGACATTCTGCATATAAAAAATGAAAAAATATCAAGGGGTTGAACTCTAAAGGTTTGAAAAAAACCCTGTGATAATGGATTGACTGAAGGAACAGAGAGCGATATGTGATCATTACTGCTGCACTAAAACATTTGTTTATTAACTATGGCGAAAGAGTTTATAAATCCCCAAATTAACTAGAAATGTTAAAACCTGCCAAAAATATATTGGATTATATATCCTGGTTCTTACAGTTTTTACCACAAACCTTAAAAACTCTTTCTATTCACTTCCAGCCGCCACGAACAGCAGCAGGAAATCCCCCAAAGGCTGGCTGCAGCAGAGAGCTTTCAGCAGGGATTTCCAGCGCTGCCTGCCGGCGGTTTGCTGGACGTCTGCAGCTCCCAACAAGAACTGCAGATTTTAGTGGCATTATAATCCTTATGAACTGATGAACAGAGGATGTTTGGAGGTGGACCTTCTCACTTTAAAACCTGTTAAAACTATTTTTACAACTCATGAAGTAAATGAAGCCAAGTAACTCTCTAGCTTAAAGCTAACGAACAGAGCAGTAAAACAACCGGAGCGTCGAGCAGCCAGAGCAATAAAGCAACTTGACCACAGTTTGATCCAGTCTCCAAACTTCTCTGTTTAAGCGTTTTTGATGCTCAAAACACTTTTGGTGTGAACGCAGCATTACACCCAGCAGGAGGAGTAGAACCAAGCAATACCAATGATGATAAAATAGGAAGATTTATGAAAATAGAGATGTTTTCCTCCCCAGGCTTGGACTGGTTATGAAGGAGAAGGGAACTGATTGGAGAAATCAGACAAAATTAGTGTCAAAAGTTTGTGCAGCAAAAATTTTTGTTTGTGCTGCTATAATTTTAAAGATAAAATTCAATATTTCTAGAGGTCTTTAAAGGTGTGTGTCATTAACTCGACTCTGTTTCTGCAGCAAAATGGTCTTTGTGCTGCTTTGGCTTTGAAGATATTAATGGAAGGTTAAAAGTCAAAAGGTCAGCCAGCCCCCCCACTTTTATGAAATCAGACAAAATTGCTGTGTGTCACCTCGGCCATGTTTGTGCAGCAAATATTTTAATTTGTGCTTCTCCAGGGGTCATCAGAGATCAACCACTCCCATGGCCCTGCTCAAATTTGCAGAAATAAATACATTTGGTGTCAATCAACTGAGCTACGTTGGTACTGGTTTGTGCAGCAAAAATAGTTGGGACTGAAGTTATTTGCTTTTATTTTAGCATGTGCCATCACAGGGGCTAATGGGGGAATGGTGTGTTTGATACACTGAAATTTTAATAAACTTTTAATAAACCCCACACATACCTTTCCTGGAGGCTTCAAAGCTGTCGTAGATGTTTATCCTTTGGATGTCGTAGGTAAGGGTAGTGTTTGGCAGTAAGGTTCTATTCCTGTTGATTGTGTTTAAAGCAAATTTGAAGGCTAGCTCCTCAGCACCAGAAGGCCCACTTTCGACGGACTCAAATATCCCCCCTGTGAAAGAGAAGGAGGTAATATTAGGGATGCAGAAAACAACATTAACTTAAAGTCTTTGGTATCACTGAAAGGAAATCCCTCAGAAACAAGCTCTGTAAAATATAAAACACTCATTTTTAATTGTTAGATCTTGTTTCTGTCCATTCATTTCCACATTGTTAACATAATGTTAAAATAAACACCCATCTATTGTTTTAACGCCACACATGATTATGTTTCTATGTACCATTCTCCAGTGGTGAGTGGGGAAGAGACGGAATAAACCTGGACGGGTCAACCGTCCATCAGAGGGACGTCCCAATGTGTTTTACACCAAAGAGCAACACAGAAACACAGAAGCCATGTGTGCACGTCACAAACCTGCAGCCAGTTCACCAAACTTAGATGTTTATGGACCGATGAAGAAAAAGGAAGGAAAAAAAGGGAGGATTTCTGCAAACGTTATCCAGATGAAGAACATTCACACACCTAAAATAAACTCCTTGCAGCTGTGGCAGCGCTGATTACATCATCCAATATAGTAATTCATGCGGTGGTGCCAGAAATAATAAAAGTAAAGTAGTATGCTATGAATTGACAGTAAAAGGGATATTTGCAACAGCAATGTGCAACACATGATCAGTGGTGCAACAGCAAATACTGCACAAACAACAAATATAAAATTTTATTTATTAAAAACATTTAGAATTAAATAAAAGTGTAAAATACCACACACATAAATAAATGTTTAATGAAAAATGACCTGAAATCAGAATAAATATGGACAAAAAAATCATCGTAATAAAATAACATAATTTTAATAGTCCTATAAACGGAATGTATGCAACTCCATGTAAGATATCTGATGGCCAAATTTGTTAATTTGAATCACTGCTACTCCTCCCAGTCTTTCTTCGGTTGAAGAAGATCTCAAATAGTTCAAGAAAGCTCTGCTTTGCAGACGCAACAGTAACAGGGAGAGTGCAGATAACCTGCACTCTGCCTGTTACTGTTGCATCGTGAAAGCAGATCTTTTTTTGAAACCATGCATGCAGTAAAACCTGCAGCAGGTTAACCAGACAGATGTTTTTTGGACAGATGGATGGATGATGCACTATTATCCAAAGATTTTGGTAAAAATGACATATCTCATTTTGAGATAAGTAAACAGTTCAAATGGGCAGTTTATTATGTTTGTTTAGCATCCAAATATTAACTGACAATTTTTCAACATTATAATATTCCTTTTGGATAGCAATTGTTTCAAAAAACTTGTGATGATAAGAAGAAAACAACAGAAATGAATGTCAGTGTTTAGTCCTGTTTCTCTCCTATAGCCATGGACTCAGGTTTTATTGTAACTAACTGGATGTTCTCTCCTCCTCCTTTTACAATGAACACTGGCTAAGAGCTGATCTGATTAAATGTTTATTTACCAGATGGAGCAGCCTGTGGAGCTAGTTTACCATTAGCCTTTCTGACATAGAAAGTATTTGTAGATCACTGCTTCTATTTTCCATTTAGTTTATCTGCTTTTGCCTCCCTAACCCTTAACCCCAGTCACACTGAGCCTGGTTCTGCTGGAGGTTTCTTCCTGTTCAAAGGGAGTTTTTCCTCTCTACTGTCGCTACAAGCATGCTTAGTGTGAGGGATTGCTGAAGAGTCAATGAGTCGATGCAATCAGCTGGTTTTCCATAGATAGAAAACTTTGAATCAATCTGACGGGAATGATCTGGTTGAATTGTTTTGAAAACTTTGAACCATCTAATTTACGACCGTATGATCTTATAAAAAATAATTTGAAATGACGCGTTTTGAATTGGCGCTATAGAAATAAACGTACTTGAATTGAAATCAATCCTCTCCAGTCTTAGTGTAGTGAGAGGGATGGGACTTCATGTCTATACCATGAATGTCATTGTCCACTCGTAGAAAAGCTCTATTTCTAGGCGCTTTTTTTTAGTATCTTTAAAAATAAAAATTCACAAGACTCTATGTAAAGTTCACATTTAACTTTACATCATCTTGAAAACCGTCTGATTTACGATCCTATGATCTTTTTGTCTGTAAAATAATTTGATTGTTATGAATTGGTACTATATAAATGAACTGAATTGAATTGAATTAAGCATTAACAGTGAAACAAGGAGGGCATAAACTGGAGGAAGAAACATGTTTCCTTGAGGAGTCTGTTTCAAAAGGATTCCTCCACAGCAGTGTTTCCCAAACCAAGCTCCATGAAAAGAAAAGGTTCCAAAATTATGAGCCTGCGCAGCAACAGCCCTCATGGGGAATACTGTACATCTGACAGGGAACAAATGAATGTACCAGAAGGAAGTCTCAGTACCCGGTAAAAGGGGGGCGGAATCTGTGATCAATGTTCCCTGATTGGCCGGCGGATCAATGGGGTCCTTGGGGAGTCATGGAGAGCAGCGCTTACAGATTGAAGTGTTTTGTTTGGGTTAGCCCTATGGCCTGGTTCTGCTGGCTCAGTGTCAGTCAGAGGCAACCCAGGAGCCAAGTTTTATTTACTCTAAATACAAACACTTAACTGGAGAGCTCTGTTCAAGCCAAAATGTAATCTATACACATCACTGCAGGAGTACTGCAGGTCCCTCATGTCACAAGCGATTACTACAGAGCAGGCTGACTCTGATCAATGCTCCCTTAAAGGGATTTTAACCACTGCAACCTTTAGAAGCAGGCTTCTTCACATGTCCAGCTTTTTTATGGAGCCTATAATGAAAAATGTTTTTCATTTAATGTTAAAAAGGCTTGAAATCAAATTAAGAAATATATTTGGGGTGTAGATCCCCATATGTTCAGTATTACTGACTCTGTGTGGCATTTATGGAGAAAAAAGGAGGCAATCTTCATACAATGTTGATATCAGAACAAGGCTATGAAACCATAGAACCCATCAGCAAAAACAGGAGTTCAGTTGTTAATTTGTGCCTGAAAAAGTTTTCACATTTCAAATTTTGTTATTTTTTATTTCCTACTTTTTAATGCTTTATCATGATGTACAGTAGTGGAAAAAAGTCCATGAAGATTGACTTTGGTTTTTGAGTTAATAAATTTGTTTTCAAATGCTTTAATTCATATAAATAGAAACTACAGTAGCAGCCTTCCCAGTCAAACGGCAGCCGAATGGCAGCACATTTCCCTGCAACTCCCAGCAAATCCCCTCCATTAACCCGACACATTTTATTACTCTGACTTCACCCTTTCAGTGAATTACAGGGTCTGACCAGGAGATGATGCTTCTCTTTAGATCTTAATGTCCACAAACCATGACAGAAAGAATATTTACTATAGTAATATAATTATAGTACAAATATGAATGTATAAAAAGGAATGGTATGGGACCAGCCAAAGATCCATCAAGGAAAGTGGAGAAATTTAAAATGGCTACTGCTGTATCAAAAGCATCCGTATCAAAAGAATTTCACTGCCACACTTATCAGAAACAATTGATTTGAAGAGATCATAAAACAGAGCCAGAACTCACTCCTCATTAGTTCAGCCATGCTGGAGCTCCATGGCGGTCTATGAGCTGCATGTTAAGGTCACACTGTAGCATTTGAATTTGACTGAAGTTCAGACCTGAGCTAAGCAACTTTGTTATTGTTTTTGTTTTTTTGGTAGGGATTTGGTTTCTGTTCCCACTCAGCAGCGTTTTATGTTCTTTTAATCTTTTTTTTTCACTGATGTTGTTTTCCCATCTCTGTTTCTCATCCTCCTGGGTTTCTCGTGACCCCAAAAAACCCCAACATCATCATTTAGACGTTGGTTTTTAGGCTAAATCTGGTCGGACCTTCATAGTCTGGATTCTGTCCAGAAATAGAATATAGAAGTGGAGGTGGTGGAGGAATAGAAATACCTTGATGTTCACCTGGGCAACAAACTAGACAGGAGACACACCTGTGAAGCCGTCTACAAGAACGGAAAGAGCAGACTGGACTTCCTAAGTCCCCCGGTGTTTGCAGCAATATGCTATATATCTTCTATAAGTCTGTTGTGGAGAGCATGATCTCCCAGCATCAGAGCTAATGACTCTAAAAAGCTCTATACGCTAATAAAGAAGGCCAGCTCTGTTCTTGGAACTCCTCCAGAGCCTATGCAGGTAAATTCACATGAAGAATTCTTCATACAGTGAAGAATATTATGGAAATCTGTAAGCATCTTCTTCAGCAGATTTTTAAACAACCAATGATCTTCAGTCAGAAGCTTCTCCAGATCCAAAGCAAGACAGACCTCTACAGGAGATCCTTCCAGCCTTCATCTATCAACATCTACAACAGCTGTTTTAAAAGATGAGTTACTTAAACATTTAACTGAATTGAACTGAAACAGTTTTAGAAAACTGGGCTGTATTTGGTCTGACTGATTTTGTCCCCCTATAGTCAAATAATAGACATTTAAAAAACATTGAAAACACAGTCTACATTTCATCTTTTTAATGATCTGAAAATTACAGCTTTTCACCGTTCACTTTTCAACCAAATATAGACGTCGTTTGAAACTAAAATCATGTCGTCTTTTCAATGTCTTTCCAAAAGGTTTTTGCTCAGTGGGCGAATACCTTTATTCTTAGTCTTCAACATCTGAAGGCTCCTTTTCTGGGAACAGATCTGTGAATGCTGTCATGGTTAAGCTGGAAAAGTTCAGTCTAGGCAACTTCAGTTGAGTAAATTTATCACATCCATCCATGCTCCATCCATCCATCCATCCATCATCCATCCTCCATCCATCCATCCATCCATCCTCCATCCATCCATCATCCATCCCTCCATCCATCAATCCATCCTCCATCCATCCATCATCCATCCCTCCATCCATCCATCCATCCATCATCCATCCATCATCCATCCATCATCCATCCATCCATCCATCCATCATCCATCCATCCATCCATCATCCATCCATCCATCCATCATCCATCCATCCATCATCCATCCCTCCATCCATCCATCATCCATCCATCAATCCATCCTCCATCCATCATCCATCCTCCA